AATGAAATGAAATGAAATGAAATGAAATGAAATGAAATGAAATGAAATGAAATGAAAACATTGGTGCTGGATTACCCAGTTGGGCAGACAAGGCTCCATCCCCCAAAGAAAAATTTTTATGAAAGATTTTGCCTTTTTTCCCCCCATACTCCCCAAGATTTTGCTTTTTGATGTTTAAAAAAAACATATAGGGGCACCTGGGTGGCTCAGTCCTTAAGCCTCTGCCTTCAGCTCAGGTCATGATCCCAGGGTCCTGGGATGGAGCCCCGCAATGGGCTCCCTGCTCAGCGGGGAAGCCTGCCTCTCCCTCTCCCACTCCCCCTGCTTGTAGTCCCTCTCTTGCTGTCTGTCAAATAAATTTTAAAAAATCTTTTATTTATTTTAACAGGGGCGCCTGTCTGGCTCAGTCAGTGAAGCGTGGACTCCTGATCTCCACATTGTGAGTTCGAGCCCCGCTTTGGGTATAGAGATTATTTAAAAATAAAAGCCATAATAATAATAATAAAATAAAATATTTAAAAATAAACAATAAGTACAAAATTATCATAACAGATCACAATCATTATACTTTTCATGATGGTAATCAATGTTTATTAAGAAGACAACAAAAATTCTGTGATTAAAGGTCATTTGTTTCATCATCTGAAAAAAAAACATAGATAAGGGAATGTCCTTGCTCTTAGGAAATAAACACTATAAAGTATTTAGAGGTAAAGGGACACACTGGCACCAATTTGCCCTTAAATGGTTCAGAAACAACAATATGCATATGTATGGGAGAGGGAGAATATAAAGCAAATGGAGGAAAATGTAAACAAAAGGAAAATCTGGTTAAAAAGACATTCATTCATGAGTTCCTACTACTAGTCCTACAACTCTTCTATAAATGAGGGATTATATCAAATAAAAAGATGCCCACTGAAAATTAACGTTAAAAAAATAAACCACAGAGGGGTGCCTGGGGGGCTCAGTCGGTAGAGCACGCACCTCTTAATTTCAGGGTCGTGAGTTCGAGCCCCGCATTGGGCATGAATATGGAGCCTACTTAAAATAAAATTTTAGGGGCACTGGGTGGCTCAGTTGGTTAAGTGTCAGACTTTTGATTTTAGCTCAGGTCTTCATCTCAGGGTCCTGAGTTCAAGC